TTACTAAATTCCGGCCGGATTTGACTTTTTAATTTTTTTATTATAAAAATAGAAATTTTTAAAAAATAAGCACGCATCATGGTAAAATTGGCCCAGGAACAATTTTCACTTAATAGGCGGCTGCGATTTCATTAGTAAAATTATGTGTAATTCCGGCCTAATTTTTTGATCGTCGTTCTCAGCCAATCAGAATCAAGGATCATCCGCACATTTTTTGATCGTCATGTGAATATGATTGGTGAACCAAAATAACTAACCAATCATATTTCTCGTGTAACTTCACATGCATAAAAAAGGTAAAAATTGTTATATCATGTGATATCCAATAAAATATATTGTTTTCTAATCTTTTCGAAATCTTACCGTGTCCCTGTTGAGACCAGGATCATCGATGGAAGAAGATTCAACGTTACAAAAGACCGAAGATACATCAATGGCAGAGGTGCACAAAACTGAAGATTCACCTATGTTGGAAAAAAATGAAGATTCGTCTATAGTAGAAGTTCACCAAACCGAAGAGGAGATAAACAAAAGTGAAGAATCATCTATGTTAGAAGTCGGCAAAACCGAAGAATCATCTACGGCGGAAGTCATCAAAGCCGAAGAATCATCTATGGTAGAAGTTCACAAAACCAAAGAAGATTTAACAATGGATGAAATAAACAAAACCGAAGAATCATCTATGGCGGAAGACAACAAAGCCGAAGAATCATCTATGGTGGAAGACAACAAAACCGAGGAATCATCTATGGCGGAAGACAACAAAACCGAAGAATCATCTATGGCGGAAGTCAGCAAAGTCGAAGAATCATCTATGGCGGAAGACAACAAAGCCGAAGAATCATCTATGGCGGAAATCAACAAAACCGAAGAATCATCTATGGCGGAAGTCAACAAAGCCGAAGAATCGTCTATGGCGGAAGTCATCGAAACCGAAGAACCATCTATGGCGGAAGTCATCGAAACCGAAGAATTATCTATGGCGGAAGTCATCAAAACCGAAGAATCATCTATGGCGGAAGTCATCAAAACCGAAGAATCATCTATTGCGGAGGTCATCAAAATCGAGGAAGATTCGAAAATTGTAGAAATACAAGATTCAGAAGTCCACAAAGCTGAGGATTCGACTATGGCAGAATTCCAAAAAACCGAAGAATCTTCTATGGCGGAAATCAACAAAACCGAAGAATCTTCTATGGCAGAAATCAACAAAACCGAAGAATCTTCTATGGCAGAAGTCATCAAAACCGAAGAATCTTCTATGGCGGAAGTCATCAAAACCGAAGAATCTTCTATGGCGGAAGTTCACAAAACCAAAGAAGATTTAACAATGGAAGAAATAAACAAAACCGAAGAACTATTCATGGTAGAAGTCCACAAAGCCGAAGCCCACAAAACTGACGATTCAACTACGGTAGATGTTCATAAAATCGAAGATTCATCTATGTTAGAGGTTCACAAAACCGAGGAAGATTCGACAATTGTAGAAATACACAAAACAGAAGATCAATTAATGGATAATTCCATGGTCGTCATAGACTACTCTAATGTACCACCGCCTTCTTCACTTACCTCAGCTACAGGGCCAGTTGAATTTAGTGATGCAATGGCGAAAGTAAAGGCTATCGCAGCCAAGTTGTTACAAACGGGCGATACAAATACAGCTGCACCACAAAACAATAATAACAATAATAACAATAATATTAATCTTAATAATAACGTCAGCAATAATAACAACAGTAAGAATTTTTCATAATTAATCGTAGTTTACGATAAGTACTAATATTCAAGCATTATATTTTAAGATACTCAACAAGGTATTAAACGTTCACACGATGACAGTTATATCTCACATGGTCCAAGAGATGGTCGAGATGATTATCGGGATGACTATCGTAGAGATTCTTACAATAGACGAGAGCGAGGAAGTCGTTATGAAGATTACGGAAGGGATTCAAAAAGAACAGCTTATGATGGTGGTTCATCTCGCCCAGAGCGTATCCTTTTTTGTATTTATATGTTTATAGTAAATAATAATTTATTTTAATCAAAAATTTTCTTAATTAATTATTTAGACGATAATAGTAATAATAGGCACCGTTATGGTCTAGGAAGTGAAGATCGACGTTCATACCATGGCTCGCATTACGGGCCACTCGGAGATTCGTCTCGTATTTCAACTCAAGAAGAATTTAAAGTACCCAATGCAGTTGTAGGCTTGGTTATTGGTCGAGGGGGAGAAAATTTGAAACGAATTGAAAAACAGACAGGGGCACGAATTCAATTTTCACAGGGTAATTAATTCAGGATGGGTAATTTTATTTTCCACAAATATAATGAAATGTTTAAAATTGCCCCAATCACAGATCAGCCGCCAGATGTTATAGAAAGGCGAGTAACTATTACCGGCACGCCAGATGATGTTAAGAATGCCAAAGGGATGATTCAACAACTTGTCGAAGATGCTATCAACGGCAATACACTCAATCGTCGCGATTTACAAGGTGGAGGTAATCGTTCAACTATCACAATCCACATTCCAAGTAGTAAGGTAGGAGTCGTTATCGGCAGAGGTGGCGAAACCATTCGAGACTTGCAGGATCGAAGTGGTGCACGAATCAACGTAACACCGGATAGCGCAGCTAGTCCACAATCTAACGACCGTTCAGTAACTTTAATTGGAGATGAAGCTGCAGTTCAAAGGGCCAAAGCTCTAATTGATGAAATTGTAAATACGGGTGATTCTGAACCTAATAGAGTATGTAGTAGTTGCTTTTTTTTTTTTAATCGCGTTGTACGTTAATACTTAACATGACTACATGACTATTTTTAAGGGTTATCCTAAAGATTACCGCTCAAACAGCTATGGTGGAAGCACATATAGTAATGATAGTCACGGTAGTAACTATGGAAACAGTGGTGGTCATTACGGGCCATATGGCGGACATCCCACAGGAAAATCCAATCAGGATAGTATTACTATCCAAGTTCCAAATGATTCTGTTGGATTGATCATAGGAAAGGGTAAGCAAATTTACATTTCGATTTGCTTACTTCTGGTACTGATACTTAATAACTAATCTTTATAGGAGGGGAAACGGTAAGAGCACTTCAACAACAGTCAGGGGCAAAAATACAAATTGAACCTGTTCATGGTGTTCCGCCTGTAGAGCGCAACGTACAAATTATCGGTAAGCATATGAATAACTCATTGTCTAGCTGCATATGATAACTTTCTTGCCTCCAAAACGTTGTAAATTCAATGTCAGTTGCTCGATGCGCATTGTGTGCATGATGACGTCGCTTGCTATAGGTTCTGCTGAAAATATTACTGTCGCGAAACAATTGATTCTTGAAAAAGCTGCATCTGGAAATGTACTGTCGTTTGCCTTTGTTTGTTGAGTGTGATTGCTATAGTTTTTTTTTAGATAATTCTTTTTTTTTTTTCTTCTTCTTTTTGTAATTTAAAGGCCAGTTTTTACATGATTGTTGATGATTTTCGTATCGTATATTTTTTTTTTATTTTTTATGATTGCACATTTGGATATCGTTACAGCGCGAAAGGCCATCACGTCATGGTGACCAAAATAGGGGATATGGAAACAGGTTAATCTCGGTAGCTTGTTATCAAGATTATTAGGAAATTATTGATTCTCAAATAATTTATATTATTTTACCTGAATACACGATAATAGGGATTATGGATCAAGTGGATACCAGCAAAATTCGTATCAACAAAATAGTTATCAACAAAATAACTATCAACAAAGCGGATATCAACAAGGAAACTATCAAAGCGGTTATCAACAGAACACCGGCTATCAGCAAGGCAGCATTAATTCGGGTAATACTGGAGGTCCTGGATATCAACAGAATAA